CTTTACGAACGTGTTCTTCGAAGCGCGTACGCAAAGGATCCAATCCTTCACTAATACGCGACAAAAGAGAATACATTCGATTTAAATCTTCCATCCTATCAAGATTTAGTAGGCTCTGGAACTCATCCCACATAATATCAGTATGATTCTTCACGAGCACAGTCTCACATGTTGTGATAAGCGGTTTATGGGTACTTTGATGTAAGTATAGTTTAACCCGATTTTCTTCCTCACGTAAACGAGCCTCTGCCTGGTTTTGTAATATAGAAGAAAATTTTAAATATAAATAATATACACACTAAGATAAAATTTTTAATCCATGAATGTTGTATCACCTTCTTCATATATTCGGTGACGCTGTTCTCACTGACAAATTTCTCCGATTCTGCTTTATAATATACTTCGGAAGCTTCCACGAACGGCTTTTGAAAATGCTCCTTGTATACATCAAGTGTTGATTTCGTGGAATCTGCATCATCAAGACCAAGGGCAACTAAAAGGACATCGATGTTAACAAATATCAAACCAAAACTATACATCAAAACTAAAACTTATATTAAAAAACCGGAATTACCAAAGGACTCAACAACGCTTTTTACCAAACCGGTCTCGACGCTCTCACCGTTTCTTTGACGTTCTATGAGTTTTAGAACTGCTGCCATTACATGACGTTCTACATGCATGAACATATAATCTCGCCAGCTGACAAGAGTGAGCTGTTTTGATCGTAGATGATGATTATCGAAGTTAATAAACATGCTCGCAAAATAATCACATCAAATTTCATGATCAATACGTTTCTTACAGTATAAACATCATAAACAGTTTTACGACCCTCGTCGATTTCCCTTTTAACCCAGTGACGATTAAGATATCTGAATACATGATGTACGTAGGAAGACGCCGTAGTATATTTTTCCCAGTGTTTTGTATAATATCGCAGTAAATTTTCGTCCATATGTTGAGTTGAATTCTATCAAAAGAGACGCTTAATTGTCCGCGAAGAATTCGTTGTCAAGAGTTACAACCTCAAAAAATATAGAGCACCTACCTCGCGAATAGTATGAAGGTATCTTTCAAGATATCTTTGAAGATTTTGATATAAATCACTTCCCATTAAATTTGCGCCTGATAAATATTGAAAATTTTGTTAATGCCTTATGAATGAATCAACGATTTAAGATAAATTGTAGCTTTAAATTATATTATTGTACCTCGATTATTACTCAGATTTGCGCCAGGGCCCGCGAGAGGTTCTGAAGTAAACCCGGGATTCATGCGACTGCTCGTACAATAATTATAGATACCACTAATGATTCAATTCGATAGGATTCAATTCGATAGGATTCAATTCGATAGGATTCAATTCGATAGGATTCGATTCGATATGATTCAATTTGAGAGGATTCAATTCGATAGGATTCAATTAGATAAAATTCAATTTAATAGGATTCAATTTAATAGGATT